GATCACCATTGGAGGCTGGACAATTGGACAGCTTGAATTGCAGATCGTGATCATTGGAGTTCAAGGAAAAGCAAAAGAGTTTGTGAAATTCATCAAAGGTATCATTCTCATCACAGTTTCTATCTAAACACATTGCAGATCCTGGTTTGGGAATTGAAAATTATTTTATTTCCGCTGTGCATGATTAAGTAAATTCCCAACAGCAATGACACCAGATACCCCCGTATCCTTCCAAGGACAGGTAATTTAGACCAGATTCTGAGTAGCTTAAAATATGTCAGCATCATTTTTAGTCAGAAATAAGAGTAGCGATACACCTTGCAAAAAGAAGCTCCTACAAACCTGCAAGCCATATGATCCAGCATGATATTTATTATCACCCTTAAGACATTCCTCTTCAACATACTTATCTAAGGCGGCATAAATGTCACGACGACCCTTGACATCAAGCTGAAGATCTGCCACAAAATGTTAGTGATCAGTTCAATGTTTTTGCGTAATAATAATGGCAGTAGTTGACAATATTAAGATCACATCTAATTTCTACAATACCATAAAATAATCCCCTCCTGGTAGATTTATAGTTCACATTGATGCATTCAATGAAGTCCATATGGTGCCCCTCAAATAATTTCTAAAGAATACGATAGCAATAGAAAATGAGAAATAATGTCCACAATCCTGTAGGAGTAAAATAGAAGTCAGAATAATTGCTGAACATTGCCTTACCTTCATTTTCTCTTCCAGTTTCTCAAATAAAGTTCTAAAAAATTCTTTGACATCATGTTGTGGAAAAGAGTTATATGTAATCCATCCAAACGCTTCCATAAACTCCTTTGTCGTGACAGTGTTGTCACTGGACTGGAGCTCACTAAATAAATTCTGCAGGGCCAGAGTGATGCTCCCAGATGGCATATTATTCTCGGTGGGAGAGTGACATACAGCCTAAAACCCAAATATAATATTTTAATCCATATAAAACGTCTCTGTAAACTGCTTAC